AAGATCATCTTAAAGCTTTAGCCATTGAGTTGGGTCATGATATTTCGGATGACATGAAAATTACCGATTTGAGTAAATCGATAACGACAGGTGAAGGATATGATGAAGAGGTCACTAAAAATCTGTTGTTGGTTATTACTGAAGACAGAAAGCTCCGTGAACAGCAAGAGGTCGAGGATAAACGTCAACAGTTTGAAATCAAGAAGCTTCGACAGCTACAAGATGCAGAAAATCAAAGGCTTGAACGTGAATTTCAGCTTGAAAAACTACGTTTAGAAAATGAGAGATTGGAGGCATCTCCTCAGACTATCGAAACTAAAGTCAGCGCTTATGAATTAACAAAGATCGTTCCAAAATTTGAAACTAAGGATGGAGATATAGTTTTGTTTCTAACAGGGGCCCCTATCAGGGGGGAAGGTGGGCGCACGATGCGCCCACTTAAAGCTTGGGGGGGGGGATTTTTACACTAAATAAAACGAATAGTTTGGGGGGGAATTTAGAATTTGCCTAAGAATGCGCCCAAGAGCTTGGGGGGAATGGGGGCCACTGGTTTCTAACATTGTTCCAGCGCCAAGCAAAAAGATTTGGAATTGATAAACGTAATTGGGTGTCAGCCCTACTAGCTCTTATGCCATCTGAAATCACTCAACTGATTGCTCGGGAGGCTGAAGATAAGTTTGAAGATTATCATTATACAAAAGGCATTCTACTTAAAAAGTTTAAGATGGATCCAGAACATTTCAGGCAGAAATTTGTTAAACATCAGAGGAACCCTTCTAATTCTTGGCATGATTTTGTTTTCGAAATAACGAGTTATTTCGACGAATGGCTAGTAGGTATAGAGGTAACTGATTTCACAGGATTGAGAAACTTGATGAACACTGATCAACTGAAAAGACTGGGCCCTCGAGAAATAAGAGATCATTTCGTGGACAGCTGGTGCAAGTTTAAAACCCCTGGTGATTTGACTGAAAAAGTTGATGAGTATGAAAATGTGAGAACAAGTTCAAAGAAAGTAACTACAACTGACATAAAACCCAGGCCAACAAACCATTTTAAGCCAGGTATTAGAGTAACTAATCTGATCAAACTAGCGCAAGATTTAGAACACCAAATACTCTAAAAGAGTTTGGAACTAAATTTCGTAGACCCACTTGCTTTTCCTGTGGCGAAATAGGACATACTTCAAAATTCTGTCCTAAAAATGCAAAAAAGCAACTTGGATCAGGGGCTAGGGCCAATCTTGTGAAAACTGACGAACCAGAAAAGAACTATCTTAAGAAGTCGTGACAGCTAAGGTATCAGTTCCAGTTTCAACTCCAATAGAACTCAAGAAAGAAGTGGATGACTTGAAGGTTGTGAATATTAAGTGTGGAAACAAATCTCTGAGAGCAGTTGTAGACACTGGAGCCCAAATTTCAGTGATACGTAAAAACTTGATTGATTTAGATTGTGGGGAAGGTGAAGGTACTATTGAAATCATTTCTGCATTTGGTGAAAATGAGATAGCTGCATAGAAATTGCTCAGCCTTAAAATAGATGATAATATGCACAGTTCCATACCTATTACTTGTGCAGTATCTAAGAAACTTGTCGACATGTTGATTTGTGGTAGTGTCTATGAACTTTTATTACGAAATATCCAATTGTATAATTTCCATCAGGGGATTTCTAAAAATGGACTCTCTGTCGATGAGAAGAACGATTCAACTCATGAAAATTCTAAAAAGTACGAAGTTGGACTTAATACTCATAGATCTATATCTTGTCAGACTGTAGAAACTGAAAATAATGATCAAGTCGAGAATTATAATTAAGGTGACAATCTTAGTAATCGTTATAAAAATTGGAAAGATTTCATTCGTCTACAACAAGAAGACAGCTGCCCTAAAGAAGCATGGGAATTTGGAAAGAAAAAGAAGAATTCATATAGTATTGAGAATGGAATTTTGACACATTCTGAATGGGTTTGAGGAGAACTCATTACACAAGTATTATTATCTGAAGACAAACGCAAAGAGGTATTGCGAATGGCCCATGATGTCTCTTTATCAGGTCATCTAGAAGAAAAGAAAAGAAAACAGAGGATTAAATATTCCTCTCATTGGCCCACTATGAAAACTGATATAAAAAGTTATTGCGAGCTCTGTAAAGAATCTCAAGTAAGACGGACTGCAACATATAGAGATCGTGTACCCATACAGCCAATTGTTCGTCCTGAAAATCCTTTCGAGGTTTGAAGTGTTGATTGCATTGGACCTCTGGAGTCAAAATTTAAAAGAGGTCACGCATATGTTATTTGTGCGGTTGATCTCGGCACAAGAAGGGCCGCGGCAATTCCTGTCAAAAACATTAAAGCGAAAACAACGTAGAAATATATGTTCATTTAAAAATGCCATTTCTATTCACTTGGTATTTTACTTTAAATAATTTAATAAAGGAAACCGATATATAAGGTATGATTTATAGTACGGATCTAAATATAATGACAGATCACAAAAAGTACTAACTGGAAGTTATAAAAGTATTCATTCCAGTTATAAAAAGTATTAATTTGCGAAACCTCTTAAACTTTCCCCGGAACATTAAAATTCCATAGAACACAGTTTGGAATTGCTTCTATAAGATATGAAAAAATTTATGAAATTTTACCACGTTTACTACTGAAAAGTATGGTGAAAAACTATATTTTATTATGTTAATTTTACGAGAAGTCATGACCAAATTGCTACGGAAAAAAATAACCCTGTTTTTTGGTCCTCGCACAAATACCGTAAATGTATTGGTATTTTACTTCAAATAATTTAATAAAGGAAACCGAAATATTATATAAGGTATGATTTATAGTACGGATCTAAATATAATGAGAGATATTCTAATAGTTTTGACTATACTTTTTTTTTCCTCAGTGCGGTCAGTACCATGGTTCACATTTTATAAAAAGTACTGTATTACCACATGCAAACAGATGTGTTTTTCTCAAAATTTCAGAGGATCTTCTATTTTGACACCTCAAATTAAAAAAAAATTTATTCTCAAAATTGAAGAAAAAAAACATGTGAAGAACATATCCAGAAATTTTCAACAAAATCAAGAATGTCAAATATCCAAATTACTCTTAATTTATTCAATTTCAAAAAATAAATAAAAGAAAAACCCTATAGGGAGTTGTGTATATTTGGGGATGATGATTATGAAATCTAACACAAAACTGAGAGATCGTGGGCTATATTCCAGCTGATGACAATTTTTAATCTTTATTCCTTAGTACTGAAAAATTTTATTATTTTTTCTAATGTATGCATGTTAAAAAAACCAATAGTTTAACTAATATTTAAAAAACTACAAGGCTGCATCCCCTGTTCAATTTGCTCATTAACCCTCGTGGTTGATTCTCATTAATCATTACAGATTAAGAGGAAGAATGGTTTATTTTCATTTTTTTACACAAATTACAAATGAGTTACCATTTACATTTTTAAGATGACTAAATTTTGGCAAATCAATAAAATTGGTGCCTCCCGTAGAGTTATTACTCAGTGAAGATGGGTTCAAGGAATAGAGCATTCGCCTCCAAGTGAGGTGACCCGGGTTCGAATCCCAGTGATGTCTGCTCGATACGAATTCTACACCCGGCTAACACCGACCACAATGCTGACGCAAAATACCCTCAGTGGTACACGGATCATGGGTTAGAGTCCCCTTGCTGTCAGACTAACCGTGGGAAGCTTTCGTGGTTCTTCCTCTCCTAACCCATATTTACGTTACATGGAGAGGAAGACCACGAAAACCTCCCATGGTTAGTCTGACAGCAAGGAGACTCTAGCCCATGATCCGTCTACCACACAGGATATTTCATGTCAACACTGTGGCCGGCGCAAGCTGGATGTGGAATTCGTATCGACCAGCCATCGCCGGGATAGAATCCTGGTTCACCTCATTGGAAGGCAAAAGCTCTATTCCCTGAGCCATTGCGGCTCTCAATGAGGGTCATAAAATAAAATAATAATTTGGCCGGGATAGCCTAGTTGGGGGTTGGACTCGTTTTTGTGAGAATGGGCGCTTGAATCCAGCCGGCCGAAGAATACCTATGTACAAAATGGTGCACGTGAATCTGTCAGGGTCACAAAGCCCTTCAAGTTCTCATAACAAATCAATACCTTTTGGAACAGATCCAGGAGTACCCTTGTCCTCTGGATCGATTCAAAATTACAAGGCTACAGAGTTAAACATTGGTAGTCGTAAACTCAAAATTAAGTCGGTTGTTCAATGGCTGTTATGAAGAAAAAAATTAAACTAATAATCAAATTGTATTTTCTTGTATTCTTTGAAACTCCTTGCATATTTTCTACACACCTTCATAATTTCATATTTCTAAGTCTTATAAATCTTGAGCAGCAAAGCAAAATATAAAGTAAAGAAAAAACAATTTAGAAAAAAATTCGCAAAAAAATCATTTAAAATTTCAAAAGACATATGTTCAGAATTTTGAAGAAAAAAAAACTGTTTAATATGCCGTTCCAGCATGCCAAATTTTTATTCTGAGCTTAAAATGTGCTTCTATTGTAATTTTTTTCCTCGTTCAAAAAATAGGTGCAATAAAAGAAAGGTTCTACATTATAGTCACATCACAATCAATATATTTAACAATCAAGTAATATTATGATATTCTCTAATAATATAATGCTAATGCTCAACAATAAAAAATAATGACAGTTTACTTTAGGTTTATAAAAATAGAATTGAACTTATAAGGCCCTAATTATTTTCAGTAGCTTAGGGCCCCACGAAGCTTAAATCTGGCCCTGGTGTCAGTTGTAGTAAGGTGGCTTCTGTGGGTGTTGGCTGTTCCTATAAGATCAGTCCAGCAAATTTGTTTGCGTTGTTNGCAAAATGTAAAGTAAAGAAAAAACAATTTAGAAAAAAATTCGCAAAAAAATCATTTACAATTTCAAAATACATATGTTCAGAATTTTGAAGGGAAAAAAAACTGTTTAATATGCCTTTCCAGCATGCCAAATTTTTATTCTGTGCCTAAAATGTGCTTCGATTGTAACTTTTTGTCCTCGTTCAAAAAATAGGTGCAATAAAAGAAAGGTTCTACATTATAGTCTCATCACAATCAATATATTTAACGATCGAGTAATATTATGATATTCTCTAATAATATAATGCTAATACTCAACAATAAAAAATAATGACAGTTTACTTTAGGTTTATAAAAATAGAATTGAACTTATAAGGCCCTCATCATTTTCAGTAGCTTAGGGCCCCACGAAGCTTAAATCTGGCCCTGGTGTCAGTTGTAGTAAGGTGGCTTCTGTGGGTGTTGGCTGTTCCTATAAGATCAGTCCAGCAAATTTTTTTGCGTTGTTGTTAAACAAGTATATGAGTTGCAAGCATTATGGTGTATTATTGTTAAAGAAAGTTTAACAGGCCTCCATAAGTAATGCAATCAAACACGATCCCTGATTGGTTATGACGTCACATGTGCTGACCGGAAATGTGCCTCTTTCATCCGCTAAGGCTATTTTAATGCTCTTTCAGTTTTGATATCATTTATATAGTGTAAGAAATCTCCTTGAAATGCTTATTTTTTTTTTTTATTGATTTAACTCTCAACTTTAAAAATAAATCATTGATAGCATTGTCCTTAGTGCACTCTGACTGTAACATGAGGTTATATCATCAAAAAGAGCTCTATAATTAACAGCCACTCACAATATTTTGAATACATTCGAATCTACTTTTTTTTTTTTTTTTTTTTTTTTTTTTTTTTTTNTTTTTTTTTTGTTAATAGTTCTTGTTGATAATTTTTGGTGTTTCCTTATTTGATCTTTCCCACATTTGGAGCAGATTTGCCTGGTAGCTAGAAGAGGCAAGAGGTTATTATGATCTTTCCTAAAGGTTTTCTTCAGCACAAAGTCTATGGAAAAAATTCTGATCCAAAAGCGGTCGTAAATATAGGTGGTCACTACACAGAGGTGGTCCTTCTGGGAAGTTTCACTGTATTTATTTACTTAACATATTTAAATCTTTCCATATAAAAATGCACAAAAATATTAAGTTTTTCTTTTTAAAAATATTAAAAAACTACATCTGTTTACAATGTAAGAAATAAAAAAACAGCAAATCTTTTATTTTTGCAACAAAAAAAAATACAAAAAAATTTTTTAAAAAAAACTTGGTTATGTGCAGACGATATATTTTAAAATAAAATTTTATTTACCTATATCTTACTTTAATAGAATTAGATTATTCATCTTAATAAGTTAACTTCAGATGTTTCGATGTAATTTGAAAACTATACACCAACTTGCAAACAATTATTTTCATAACTAAGGCTGATTTGAGCAGGGTAAATAATTTTAAATTGTTGATAAAATTTCAAATTAGTAATTCCTTATTAAAAATTGATAAAATATTGTAATTGAATAACTAGAAAGGTTGCTTTCCAATTAACACAAAGACACACACAAACACCAATTAACACAATTAATGGTTTTATACTTCCCAAAGAAATCCACTAGTATTCAATGAAATATTTCCTAAACATTGCATGTTATGTAGGTGTTAAAACAAATTTATGGAACAACTTCAAAAATATTTTAGAATTTAAATCATAGCAGAACATTAACCACTTGCTTGCTGAGGAAAATTCCGAGATTCACCCCCTACTCAGTGCTACCGGTTTCCACAGCACTCATAGCTTTGGTGTGTATTAGAGCAAAAGAAGAGCCGTGTTTTTCAATCTAAAAACTGTTAACGCATTGGCTTAGTGAAGCTTATCTACATGCCTGCAGCAAGCAAGGAATTAGGCAATAAAAAAGAAAAATGTTTAGATAATAATAACTTAATACAATTATACATTTTCATTCTAATAATTTAGAAAGATTAATTGAGAAATATCAAGATTCAATATTATACAGAAGAATTTTCTTAGTAATTTTAAAAAATATATAAACACTGAGAATTTAATTACAATGAGCAAGGGAAAGTTTAATTTTCACATAATTTTATAAGTAATTCAGATTTTATATTCATTAAGATCGCTACAACTGATTGGAAAATTCAAAATCTGTAAGTTACTATAAAGTGGATTTAAGATCTCACTATCACAGTATAATATATTATAATATAACCACATAGCATCAGGATCAAGAGTATATAAAGCTTTAATAGTTCTATAAGCAGCTTCTTGAAATGCTTTTGACTGTGATTTATTTAAATATGGAAGACAAACTTCAGCTAACTCAGCAATATCTCTTTCAGACACATCAATTTTAGTATATAAAACCCCGATCTCAGATAAGACATACAAATGAAGTTTACAAGCATTTTGCCACTGATAATTACGATAATTCTTTTTTACCGAGCTAGAATAACTATTTTTTAATAAGCTAATTAATTTTATAGCTACATCTTTCAGAACACGAGCTCTTACAAAGTCACGACACTTATCAGCCATAACTAATAAAACCTTGAAGGCAATTAAAGCAACTGCAGGCTCCTCTCTGAAACGCCACACAAATCGAGGCCACAATTCATGTATTACTGGATGCAGCTGTACTTCGTAAGCACCAAGAATTACAATGCAATCTTCAATTACTTCCAGGGAAGATATCTTTACGTACAAATCATTAGAAGATTGGTGATGGCAACACCTTTTTAATATATCTGTCACTAAACTGACATGCAATGGAGGAGGTGCTTTAAAATCAGTTTCAGCTATAGAAGAATCTTCAGGGATGGAATCATCTTTACTCTCTAAACCAACATCAACATTTTCCTCATCTAACTGCTGTTTCTTAGCTGACTTATACTCCAACACAGCAGTTTTTAAACATTTTAGTTCACATTTTGAAGGCATAACATTTGATGAAGATACTTCTTTAACACTGAACCATAATTTAATAGAATGAACAATTGATTTAATGACCTCCAAAAGAATGCATGCTTTATCTTGATTACAATCGAGTAGATTTAAAATATGGTGAATATTATCTTTGACAAGCGGCAAAATGTGAGAATCACTTTCCTTCATAGAAACACTGAGGACAATAGCCATTTCTGGCCTAGATACAAAATGATGAAAGTTAACAGTTATACTATTCATAATGTAATCAACATTGTCATGAATAAGTTCACGAACTGAAGAGTATTCACAATAATTTGAAATAGTATGTAAGCATATTCTACCATAATTTGAAAGAACAGAATTCACACTCCCAACTTGTTCTAAAACTGGAAATAGAACTTTCATCAGAAGTTGTCTGAAATTAACTTTAAGTACTTTAGCACTTTTCCCAATAGTCTCTAATACTAAACATTTCTTTTGGATCTTATGGTTGCAGTGCATTTCATTAGATAACATATTAACTTTATTAACTGGAGATATAATATTTTCAGGAGTAGCAATCCATTCAGATGAAGATAGTAGTTCAACTAGAATATCTTCAATAAATTCATAATAATCTTTGGCTTTTTCTCTATGAGAAACACCTTCAAAGATTCTTGATATTAGAAATATACACTGCAAATCATAAAGCTCTGAATTTTGCTGTTTATCTAGTACATAATCAGTAATCAACCTCACATTTCCATACAAGCCAAAATAATAACAAATATTTAAAACAGTATTCACTATGTCTTCACTCTGAAAATAAATAAATTTCTTTTTTGGCCATAAATCACTAATAGGAGAAGAAACATTTTGATCTTCAAGAACTGATAAATCCTCAACTACATTCGTGGTCCTTAGATCGAATTCTAAGATATTCATAAGACTTAAGAAAATCCGCTCAAGATTAGAATAATTTCCTAACAAATTATCAACAGATTTACCAAGAATATGGATGTATCCTTGAATAGTTCTTAATATAGCTAGTTTATCAGAATCATTCGAAGAAAACTTGCATTTTATCAATTTTGAAGAAGATGAATGAATATCTTCTTCAATAAACGAAAATAAAGACATTGAATGGTATGTTTGTAATCTTCGTGAAAACTTTACAATCAATTCAGAGCTATAATTGGAAATTTCTTTATGCGTATCAGCAGATAAGGCAAAAACAATTGATAACAAAGTGGAAATAGAGTTTTCCAAAGTTTTCAAGCAATTGGAAAATACACAGTCGACAAATTTCAAAAGGTCATATCTCACTTTCCAATGATCATGTGTAATTAAAACTTTCATGTTCACTATCATTCCTTTTAGAGCAAATGAAGTATCTTTAAGCCACTCATCATCTTTCACTATATTTTCAAGTTTTGATTGCTTTGATACTTTTTTGGTAGAAATAACAGTTTTTGCCTCATCACTGTTTTCAAAGAAGTGGTCACCGAGAACTAAAGCAATGAGCTCAGAGAAAATATTTAAAGCTGTTCGAATAACATTTTGACCTTGTTTCACATCACCACAAATAACACCGATAAGAGCTGATGCTAACCCTGGGAAATAATGAGTTAAGCTTTTGCTAGCTACCTCCTCTATTCGTAAAGATCTAGAAGTCTGGTATGCAGGGTTATAAGCTAAAACACCAATAGTTTGTAAAATATTTTGGCGTAAAGATTTAGATTTTTCATGCTTTAATAGCTGAACAAATACAAAAAATGCCTGCGCTAAAGTCAGTCGAAATGTCTGATCATACATAATATACAATAACTCATCATCTAAACTTTTAACCAAACTAGTTATACAGTTACACACACTAAGTTTTAATTCCTCACTAGCATCACTAACTTCTTCAGGTTTTTCTATATTTGTCAACAGATTAGTTAACTGTTGAAAATTTGTGGTAAAAGTATCAGAGTTACGTAACTGAAAATTGTTGTAAAGATATGTTAAACAGTCTACAGCCTTTATTAAAACTTTTTCACCAGGTTTCTTGAGTAATATTAAACGAAGCGGAAATATTATATACTCATGATAAAGTTTTAGTGTATCTGCATCAATGTCTTTCAAAATTTCTAATAATTTATCTAAATCCTCAATTGAACAATCCCGAGCTATTTTAACACAAACAGGCTGTAATCTTTTAAAAATCAATTTGGAAGGCGATTCCATGGCTGAAAAAAATCACTTAGTACTAGCTCAAGATACAACAGACGGCAAAATCCTTTTACGAATACAAAAGTAACTAAAGCTTGGCCACCAGAATTGTTTGCCAGAACCTCTTTGTTTGCCAAGAACTAAAGAGTTCACAGTTCAACCGGATCATTGTAAATAAGTTGTAAAAAGTAGAACATAGGGTGTGAGTTTTGGTTATAAAATTGCAATGTTTACAAATTCAAATTTAAAATTTCACATGATTCCACTGCAGAAATTATTATAAAGAAATCATTTTGCGCTTTAATAGCACTCTTCATATTGAACCAGCTTGTCTGCTGTTTCAGACAACATTCTCACTACATGCTAATATTACGCGAATGCGATGTTGGCGATCGAAATGAGCTACAGGTGGCGTAAAACCGAGCCTGCTTGCTTTCACCATTAGCGTGTGCGGAGAGTCATAGGATTTTCAAATAGATTAAAGAATCTTAAGTTAGGAAACTGTATGGAACTAAAAACTAGATTGAAAATATTGAAAAGAAAGGTGCCGCAGTGGACTGATCGTTAAGACAAGGTTCCCACCAGATCACCGAAGTCAAGCATCACTGGCTGCGGTCTGAGTACGGGTGGGTGATCACTTGGATCAGTCAGCGTAGGGATCGAGGGTGTGCGGTATACGTCCTCGTTGAACTGTTCTACCGTAAAGTGCTCGACTTCTAGTGCAGGTCGTCGGGTTACCAAAGCATGGGCGCCATCCCCTCTGCAGAGGATCAAAATTGTGATGGTATGTCTTCGGATCATTCTCAGAGATGTTTCCCAGACCATCGCCAATAGCCCATTCTGCAGCTCTAGTGCAACGTAAATGAACTACTACTACTCTAAAAGAAAGCGTTAATTTTAAAAATATTGTTGTCAATTAATTACAAAATAATATCAAGAAAGGAGAAAATACCCTATTGAATTTTATACAACAGAAAAGAGGAGGAGAGGATGAAGGCATGGAACCGGTTGTTTCCCCCAGATGGCGTATTCGACCGTTGCGATTGCGAATTGGAGTTAGGACCAAGAAAGGGATTGACGTATTTTTCACCGGTAAATATATTTTACCACTCAGGCTCTCCTTCCCATTTAAGTAATTTTTGCATGAAGCGTCGGCAAGTGGGGATCGAACTCACGATCTCATGGACATGAGTCCAACACCCTATCTCAGCCCCATTTACAATAACTGACTGAAAATGAATATTGTCAGATTGCTGTCATGAATCATGAGATAAATAAGACATAAGGGTTTCAATTTGAATAACATAAATAGACGGAAAGCGAAGAATTCGGGCTCTTCTCTTTTATGATCTGAAGGCAGAACTGGTGTGTACGCGCATTGCACAACCATAATGTAAATTGAAGAGTATATGATTATAGCAATCACGGAGATTTCGTAGCTTCCCATATGTGAATTGATATAATAGATTCCAAACTAAGACAGAATTAGAGAAATTGCAATTAAATCAGATACCCATAACCCTTATCACAGGGTATCGAACCCCCCAGTCTAGCGACTCGGTTGCTTTAAATAAAACATATAAATCTTTTAAGAGCTGATATGTTCTTCGAATTACTTTCGAAAAATATTCCCAGTGGTAGTAGAGTCTGAATCTTGCAATCTTAGGGATAATCTAGAGCGAGATTTCATTGTTATTTTCTCTCAATATATGACGCATAAAGCTGGCCATTTACACTAGGGCGGTCTCCTACCCGACCTTGCAAGAATAGATGAAAAATAAGCATGTGACGCAATGTAAGAGCCACTGATCACACGTTTGAATTTTGGTTTGACTGACAAAGTTGTCTTTGTCAACAGCGCTTGTCTGAAAACAGCTTGGCAGATCACCGAAGTCAAGCATCACTGGCTGCGGTCAGTGTGCGGGTGGGTGACCACTTGGATCAGTCTGCGTAGTTACCGAGGGTGTGCGGTATTGGTCCTCGTTAAACTATGCTACCGTAAAGTGCTCGACTTCATTCGCAGGTCGTCGGGCTACCGATGCGGGGGTGCCACCCCCTCCGCAGAGGATCAAAATTGTGATGTCATGTCTTCGGATCATCCTCCGGGATGTTTCCCAGACCGTCGCCAATAGCCCATTGTGTAGCTCTAGTGCGACGTAAATTGACAACAACAACAACGACTGAAAGCAGCTTGGAGAATCGGTGAAAAATCTTGGAGTTCGTTCCTCTTGTACTCCTGCTGTTGTCAGGACCCATGAAAATAGGGAGTGTTTGATCAGAGTTCATTCATCCTCAGAGTAGAATTCAAAACTACAAGAATCGTGAAATTGAAAGTTGCAATCTCGTCTATATGGATCCGTTTTTCCTCTCTGGTTATAATATTATTTTATCATCTGAATTCACCATCTTTTTAAACGAAGCTTCACATATGACATCTTAAATTAGAGTGATTTAGTTTCAATGTAGAAAATTACAGTTTGCGTACTTTATATCTATATTGTTATTCTATTAGGCAAAAAACAAGTCATCATATAGTTTTTGAAATTTCGATTTTTTATATAATATAGTAAAATCTCACGGGAGCGACCACTCTCCGTTCTAGAGTAAAATGGCAGTTGATAGATGTTAGTCGTTCTTATAGAGTTTACCCCCATTGACTTCAAAAATGTTATCAAAAGCGCATAACTTTTCTTGATGCGGAAATGCCAGTTCTCTTGGCGTCATGGAAAAACGGATTTATGAATAAATTTAGTGTCTCTAAAAAAGAACCCAACTGATATAACTATGTGTAAAATTTTTTTTATCAGTTACGAATGATAAAGCTATTTTAAATAAATAAATAATTATGTTTTTTGTTTAAATATGCAATTAATTTTACATCATAAAAATTAATCTAAAATAACTTTTCCTTCTAATTTAACTTTCAACTCTCAAAAGTAAATCAATTATACCATCGTCTTTAGTGCACTCTCACTGTAACATGAGGTTGTGTCGTCAAAAAGAGCTCTCTAAATAAGAGCCTCACACAAATAATTTAAATTTATTTTAACCAACTTATTTGTTTTGTTAAATGTTTTGATATTTTTTCGTGTTTCCCTATTTGACCATTTCCGCATTTGGTGCAGATGTTTGCCCAGTCGCTGGGAAGGTTTTAATGGTCTCTCCAAAAGGTTTTCTTCAACACAAAGTTAATGGAAAAAATTCAGCACCTCCCAAAAGTGATCGTAAATAGAGGTGGTCTTTCCTGGAGGTTTCACTGTCTAAGATTATTTTAAAGCAAATAATTAAAAAAGTTTTTTCTTCTCATAAATTTTCAGAATGAAAACATTTTAAGGGCTGTATGCAAAAAGTTTCAAAATGCTACAATTAACTCTCACTATATAGCCTGTAAAAACGAATTTTAAAATTTTTAAGGATTTAATTTTTGATCCAGTGCTTCAACATAAAAATTAAAAAAAAAGTAGGAAGTAAAATTAAGAAATTTGTTTTTCTGTAATTGTATTCTTGTAGGCTTTCAATATCCAAGGTTAAAAAAACATTGCCACTTTTTTAACTTTTATTATAATTAAGAATAAAAAGTTTAGCTAACAAAAAAGTCGTAAACGAAATGTGATAATTACAGTCAGTACATATTAAAACATCATTAAGTAAGGTGTAATCTTAATTCATATACATATTTATTTTATGTAAAAAATAAACATCCCAATGAAGAAAAATTCTGCCACAGAATGTTTTTAAAATTATTTCTTATGAAGTATCCTTAAGTATTTCTTAAATGATAAGAAAATTTAACATTTAATGGCCTAAAACCTAAATTTTAAATTAGTTTGAAAATCAGTTTATCCGTCATAAAATATTTTGCTTGAGTAAAAAAATTTTGAATTAAAAATTTCTTCATAAAAACAATAATTTCAGTGTTTTACTGTTTGCCTTTATTGTTGCCCTCTGAATTTGCTAGTACTTCCGACGTGCAACAGCGATATGGCCACAACCCTGGCCGTCACACATTCGTGACAATGTATTTAAATTTTTTAAAAAATTATAATTTTTATCACAAGGTAGCATTGTGCGTCCATAGAATTTGAGATGCACGTAGATGACCTTTAACAAGAGAGGCGAGACAATTGGTTCTTGATTCACATGCAGGGATGTAATAAATAGTGATCTGGCCGAATTCCGAATATTAAGCCAAAGAAATCGGCTCATTACCGAACAGTAACATTTATTCAAAAACAATATTATTCTTTTTCTATAAATAAGTTCAGTCATTATTGAAAATTACCCAAAACCTTGCTATATTAATGGTATGATGGTGAGAAAAAAAAAACTAATAGCTATCCATTGGAAAGATCTAACAGCTATTAAAAAAATTAACTTGTAAAAAAAATGATATTCAGAAAAAATTCTCTTAATCCTTAAAACAAAGCTTTAATGATAAAAATGATATATTTCATAAAAATAGTATCCATAAAACGTTAAAAGAAATATAGTTTATCAGAAACTCTTTTTCAAAATGCCACGCTACCATAAAAACAAGATTATAAATAAAAGTGAAACAGAAAATATATCTTAATTCTAGAAAGAAAATTTTGAAGCTAAACATCTCAGTTTTCCAATTACTGCATTTAAAAGAAAAAAGAATTAAGTCTAACAGAAATTGCTGCTACATAATGAACTTAAAAAAAGAAAATAAGCTAGGAAGAAACAGGAGGAAAGTAAAGGAAAATAGTTATTAATTTTTAGACAAATAAGTTAACACTAAAAATCTCAATTTAACTTTTTCACAATGCCATATCTTCCAAAAAAAAATTAATGATAAGAGAATAACATTCATTAGAAGCACTCTTAAGAAAATGCTGTGTCCTAATAATGTATCATAACATACACGCTCAACAGATAAAGAGAAACAAACAAAAAATTGTATATAATTTTAAAAATATAACCTTAACGCTGAAAATCAGCCTTCTATGTTGCCAGTTACCTGTCTTGTTTCCACTTTTTTTCGAAAAATTGAAAACAAAAGTATAAAATGTATCAGAAACGCTTTGTCTAAATGCCACGTTATAATCGAAAGAAAAAAAACTTTCGTACTTCTTAAAACAAAAAATTGACTTGTTCGAACATAATAATAAAAAAAACAACAAAAATATGTACTAAAACTCGTGGTTCAGTGTACTACTGCCGTGCAATTGAAAAATCAAAGCAAGCGACAAAAAATTCAAAATTAAGATTTGTATATATTTGGCATCTTTGTACATATTGCTAAAAAATTTTTTTTTCCAAATTTTTATTTTATCAGCTTTTTAAAGTTCCACTTTAGCGTTCATAGCAATAGAAGGTAAATAGTTGCCAAGCCACTTTTCTCGGAATCAATTTTGAAGCACTTGCGTTGTTTTTTCGATTGCCACAACAGTATAAGGTTTTCTAGCCTCAACTCTTCACATTCTGTTTTTCCATGTGTAATCCAGAACATAAATTTGCAAATTGTGTGCAAGTTTTAGAACTTTTCACTACATCTCCACTCAATGAACATGGTTTTTTATTATAAAAACATAAGCAGAAAGGAAAGTTTCTAAATCGCATGCTTTATAAAGGCTGCTGAAAAGGAACAAGTGGTGAGTTTTATTTTCGCTAGAATGTTGCGTATTTAGGTTTGCAATCCAATTTTCAATTGATAGATCTTGTGGAAATTTTTTTTTTTGCTTTTACAGTCACGATTATATCAAAAATATTTAACAAAACTCAAAATTGTAGAAATGAAACTTATCTGTATTCATAAACTAGAACAGCTTGTATTAAGAAATGAAGTATTCATTAGAAATTGCGTATATTTCTAGGCAATATTAATTTGCTAGTCATAACAATGATAATTATTCTTGCAAAAACGAAGTTGTTTAGAAAATATTTAACAAAGTTAAAAAAAATTGTCTTTAAATTAGAACCATTTTCATAAGGGGCAGATGTAAAACAACAAAATACACATTATGGTTTTGTTTTTGAATCTATGACATTTAGGAATAAATACTAATTTCATACAAAAATCTTTTTATTAAAAATAGACATAGCTATGTACAAAACTATTAACATCATCTTCTATTAACATCATCATTTTATCAAAACTAGAAGGAATTTATTTACCCTAGAAAAAAAAAAACAATTACAAGACCATTAGCAATGCAAAGATATTGTCAGTTAAAATAAACAAAAATCATTAATAACAATTTTTACAGTTTCAACCCACATTGGTGCTAAATACTGCTGAAATGATATGCTGTTGAAAGAAATCATTAACAATGGCATTAGTTCATTAAATATTTTGATAGCGGTATCCCACTACATATTGTGATAAGAGAATTCAACATAACCATTGTTGTCTAACTTATTGCAATAAAACGATCATTGAATGTTAAATATTAAATATTTATACTTTCATGAAAGTTTCAACACTCAAATGCATAATTTCGAATATGTTAGCAGTAATAATGATGGATTTAAAATATTCAGATTTTCAAAATGATGTGGACATTGCCAGACCGGAAGTATAACAACTAACTGTAACAACTGTTGAGAAGACTATATTAGAAAATGACGTTAATCTATGATGACATAGTTGTTAGAATTGGACGGGTAAAAATTAATCACTCCAATTTGAACTTTGGGTGCTGCAATATTATATTAAAATTACTAAAGTTTGAAAAATCTGGAGATGGATGAAAGAACAATAAATAACTAACGACAAAATGACCAGAAAATAGAGAGAATTTACAATGGAATCAATCTTCAGTAATCGAGAGCGTTAAGAAGTGATAACTAATTCGAAATTTGCACGTCACAATAGCACAGAATTAAAAATATCAGAATTTAAAAATCATGTTAAAAAAAAAAAATCCAGATAATCAGAAGTTACAAGCAATTTTAGCTACTGCGTTTTTCTGTAACTAGTATTCGGCTCTTTCAAACTAGCACTTTGCTACTCATTATTTAAAGAATCCTGCCCTGATCCTATCGACATTTAAACATTGCAATTAAATATGCAATATACGCCTAAGTTAAGTTAGAGTTCATTTTAGGAAATAATAAAAATCCTATGCTGAATATTGTGTAATATCTAGAACATTTTAGGGATTTTAACAGTATACAAACAATGAATTTTAATTGATTGTACTATTTACTTTTGTGACTGACATTTGATGGACTTGAATATAAAATGTGCTTTGTAAGTTTAATAATAAAAGACCTGAAAATTTTTGATATTTAAGAAAGAAAAGCATCAAATTAACTATAAACAAAACTCACTTTATTATTTAGCAGTAATAGTTAATCATGTGGTGAAATATCGCAATCACAAAATTTCAATTTTGCTTAAATCCAAATATTTAATATCCAAATTTTACCATAACATCTTTAATGCGATGCAACAACATTAGAGCAATCATAAAACACAGAGGGAATATTTAATGTAGGGATTTATAAAATGTGGAGGATTTTTATGTTGAATGGAGGAAAATGGAGCAAAAATAGTGAAAGTTTTGCAAAATGCTGAAGAGTTGACAGTCATGAAAATGTAAATAATCTTCTGAATGCATAAATTTCAGTTGACAAAACATAGTCTCACAAAAAAAAACCCTTCATTATGTTACAAAATAAAACACGCTTTATTATGATACAATATTGTATACCTTATTAAGAGCTATCTTAGCAGCTTTAACTGTATTTCCAACTAACATTATAACAGTCATTGGTCCAACACCACCGGGAACTGGTGTAATCCATGAGGCTACCTCTTTAACTCCTTCATAGTCTACATCACCTACTAGCCGAGAGCCAGAAGCCTTGGTCTCATCTAGAAAAGAAAATTATATAACTGCATCTGGTAAAACAAAAAATATGTACCTGCAATAAAAAAAAAGAGAAGCATTTCAAAAGGAGAAAGGATAGAATATTTCTTGACCATCAAATGATCTATGTGAATATTCTGCCGTGAATTAAAGCATAACTAAACAAGCATAAGAAATTTTATACTTGTTTTTAAACTAATTTCGTAACACAAAGGAAAAAAAAAAAAAAAACCTCATCCAAAATATAACAAAAATTTCAAAATCAAGAGGTACTAGTTTAGGATTACAAAAGATTGAAGCTTTTGCAATATAAATTATATATTTATTCGTTTTGATCATATTATATACCAAAACATGATCGAAACAAACATAGCTCAGGATTTATTTAAAGCCTGAAGAATTACAGAATACAAATAAGGAAATGGTGAAACATTTCAATACTTATTAGAATATTTTAATAAAGCTGGAACATATTAATATTTTTATTTTAAGACAGGATTTTCATGTACACAGCTGCAATCTTAATATTTCAAAAGACAAACCAAAAATATGTTAGAATATTTTGGTAGACAATATTTTAAGTTGCAAAATCAGACACTAAATTGTACTTTCTTTGAACAAATATGCTTTCCTTTCAACAGATTTGGATTTTTGACTTTCTATATGTGGAGGGCAGCAGCAATCTGAAGAATATGGTACCAATAAATTAGGCAAGAGAATAGTTGAAAGTTCAGATCCTTCAAAGCCAATTAATTTTTATTTTTTAAATTCATCTCTTGGAATCTTAAGAAATGATTTTTACATGCAAGAATAAAACATTTATCCCAAGAAAATTCTACAATTTTATTACAAAACTGGTCAAATTTTTTTTTATTTTAAAAGGTATAAAAATTTCATGATAGTTTTTGAGATATGAAACTTTAAAAATATTTTTTTTTTTACTATTCTATGTGAAAAATCAACATTAAGGGTACTTGCATACTGAGGGTTGATCATAACTGCTACTCTCCTGCCTAAAATATTGGGGTTATAAAGTTTCAGATTGCAGTTACACCCATATTTCGAGAGTAAAGTATATAAATCTGTCCAAAACAGGTACATTCTTTCAGAAAAAATTAATTTTTATCTTAGAATGTGACTATTTAAACTATTCATTAAAAGTCATAAAATTTTTTTAAAAAATCTTATTTTGTACAATGATGATAATTTCTTTAGAATAATATATATATATATCAAATCAGGGTAACAAACCCTGATATTTTGTTATTGTTTTTAATTTACATTTGTAGAAATAATAAGTCGAAATATTTTAACAGGCTTTATTTACTGGAGCATGATGCAAACAGAAATCTCACCCACTCTCCAGTCGGAGGGAGAAAGACACAGATTCCCGTCAAAATGACGGAGTTCAGATGGTAAACATGAAACACCAAAAGACACACACACACAAAAAAAAAAAAAAAAAAAAAAAAAAAAAAAAAAAAAAAAAAAAAAANCAGTCATATTGCATTAATTGTATTCCTACGCCTCATTAAAATTATTTATTACTCATAGAAAATCATTGAATCTTTCCTTATATGGAAGTGAAAGATCTTAAAATAACTCCTTTTGAAACATAAATCTAATTATAATTCATTGGCATGTTTTCAGCCTTGAAGTCCCAAAATAGAATATCTGCATTTTATGAACACGACAAAGTTTTAATGCTTTTATAAATACATAAGTATTTTTATAACTTTTGTATTACATATATATATACAGTGAAACCTCCGTTAAGCGGACGTTCATGGGACCAAAAAATTTTTCCGTTTATGAGATTTGTCCGTTTACGGGAAGGGCACCATAAATTGTTTTTAGAATATTCTCAAAGATGTAGAAATAATTAAATAATATCTACAAGGATACTGTAAATATCTACAAGAATATTTATTTAAACAATAAGAAAGATAAAAAAGAATATATAAAGAAGTTTGATATAAATACATAATTCTGGATGTAGCTACAGATAAATAAATATAATTTTCCTATTAGCACACAGTGTTTTCACTACAGCGCGAGAACGCGAGAATCTCGCAAATTTTTTTTTTCTCGCATTAAAAAATTATTACTGCGAGAAATTCGCGCATTCTATAAATGAATTTCAAAATTCGCGAATTTCTCGCATTTTGGAAAAAGCTTCGAATTACGGTATTTATAATAAAATCCGTTTCACTTTTCTTCCTGGATCTTTCATTATTTTTAACATTTGCTCCGTTATCTAGCTTCCCTATTTACCAGTATTGTTCAGAACCTTTTCGAACAACAGAACACAACCGAACCACTGAACCCCTTTTAGAACACATTTCTCTGCAACCACGTGTTTACCGTAGGTAAGGTTTTTTCATGTAAGACGTTCGAATTTTTTATGCACTAATGTAAGATAGACAAATACCTAGTAAAGGAAAAATCTTCTATGATGATGCAGCAAGAATATTCAATGCTTTAAAAAATAGAAGACGTTAAAAATGTATTATAATAAAAGAAATGATTTTTCTTTCAAGTCTATTTGTGTTTTGTTAGTTTTTAGAAATCTCACTTAACTTTCTGAAATCTCACCCTGTTTTTGTGAAAGGGTGAGAAATTCTCACCCATTTTTTTTCTATGATGAAAACACTGGCACAGATGCTCAAGTTAGACATATGATACCAAATAGGAGCGTACTGTCCTCTGTCAGTTTCAATTATTAGGTTCACATCCCCTTACACCTACTTATCATTTGATAGGGAACATGGTTAATACCTTCTTGGAAAATAAACCTCCCATGATTCACAGAAAAAAAAGTAATGCATACCTGTAAGTCATGAGGACCTATGGAGATGATTATTCACAATTGATCAGCTATCAAGTGTCTGAATAAATGTTTCATTTATATAAACACCTCAAAGATTATACTTCTGTTCTCTTTTTTTTACCCCAGTTGTGTTAAATACAGTCTTCAAATTGATAAGAAAATTAAAGAAATTTTCAATGGGGAAGAAGCATTGAGAGAAGTCATTTCAACTTGAGGGGTCTCATAACCTGTGTGGTCCAGATGAAAAGATCAAAAGATGCCGATGTCAGAATTATTTCAGGAGTGCAGTACCATTTTCTCTCCTTTCTTTACAAAGATAAGGCAAGGTGACAGGAGAAAGATTGATTTCTTGGTGGTGAAATAGCTTAACAATATTTTTAGTTATGGATAAGGCAAAAAGTTATCGATAAGGCAAGGTGACAGGAGAAAGATTGATTTCTTGGTGGTGAAATAGCTTAACAATATTTTTAGTTATGGATAAGGCAAAAAGTTTTATTTACATGCTTTAAAAATGGTGAAAAGTTGCATTTTTTTAGCTTGCAATTTATTTAGAAAAAGTAGTATCCGGTTTGTAGAGATAAAAAACAACGTTTCAGGATCGAAATGACTGTCCGCGTTGCGGAGAATGTACGTAATGGTTTATTCATAGAAGATTCCCGGGGAATTAAAAATATGTCCGTATTGAGAGGCGTCCGTTTTGCAGGAGTGTCCATAACAGGAGGTTTCACTGTATATACACACACACAGGAACCTGCGTTGTTCACTGCATAAGTCATTCCATTTCCTACGCCATTTTCTTTTGATCCAGGAAAATTGCTTATATCGATAACAGATAATTATTCAGGATTAATTAGCTGTTTCTCGCTTTTCTGGTTTTCTTTCTATTTTACATATTTCTATCGTTATTCTACTATCCTACATTACTCTTTTGCCTGTGAGAGGTGGTTTTTCCCATTGGGCCAAAATCAGAAAGGTGGTTGGATAAGCAAAACACAGGTAGGGTGGTTAAGGAAAGTATGGGAGCTTGAATTGTAAAACTTCCTAGCAGAATTTTTTCCAGTAAACTTCAATATTTGAATTTTGGAATAAACCAATCTTTTAAAGAACATTGAACAACTGTTTAGGTAATAATTTCTTTTTCTTGATTCCAAAGATCTGCAAAATGCTTCTAAAGCAAAAATAAATCTTCAAAAACTTTGATTTCTACAGCATTGGATAGAGTCGATTAAAATGGACCATAAATGGGTTTAATAACGCTTCCTGGGGCTAATTGCTACCCAGCATCCGACGGAAACATTGGACCTTTGAATTAAATTTGTGTGGACGAAGATCTTCCAAAGGCAATGACATGTATATCGAATGCAACACACATCCCATTATTTTTCAATCCTCCAAAATCTGATTTAATGCTCAGTCTTGATAATAGTAAAGAAAATGACCAAAACATTTCAGAGGATTTGCTACCAACTGATCAAAAGTTTGAAAGCATAAAAAAACATTTGCAAATGTAAACATAAAGAAAATTTGCTAACAATACTAAGTATTAATAGGGATATTGTTGAAATTGCATTAAAAAAAAAACATGCAAAGATCATGCAATGTTTCTAGTAGTTCATCTCGTAAATGCCAATTTTTAAAAACAAGCTATTTTTTTAAAAAAATCCCTATTTTACATTATCCTGTTTGGTAAGTCTTTTAACGCTAGTCTGATGAAAAATGTAGAACCTAGGTTCCACATTGTATACATATATGTATATAAAGTAAAAAAATTAATTTTTCCTTTCAGAACGTCTAAAAACTTAGTAATGTTATAGAATTTTAGTATTTGATTTTTAAAATTATCGGTTGTAAAGGAATTGCAAAGGTCAGTTGTAAAATAATGTAGAAGGCAAAGTAGATATTAGATATGTAAATTTAATAAGAGTATTACCTTTAATACTATTAATTCCACAATCAATAACCACAGCTCCAGGTTTGACCCAGTCTTTTTTTACCATTTGAGCTTGGCCAACAGCAGCAACAATTATGTCGGCATCTTGCACCTAATTTGAAAGTAGAATATTAAATTTGGATTTAAAATTAAATTAAATGGATATAGATGCTGGCATAAAATCTTAAAATTATTAATCAAGAGCAACTGTAAGGACATAAAAATTCATATAAATATCAAAAGAGCTTTGTTTTAGCCATTTTAAGATTAAAAAGAAAAGTTACATGATATTCTAATAAAAAGATTTTTAATTGTCAACTTCACTTTACAAAAATGAATAAATTACTAACACATTTGACAATTAGTTTAATTCTTCTTCCAATACTATTAATTTATTGTAAATTACAGTACCTAGCATTACAATTTGGTTACTATTTTTAATTAAGTTTTATGAATTAAAAAAGCAGTGATAAAGTTGGAGAAATTGTCTAAGGCATAAATGAATAGTCAGTGAAATGACCTGTCAATAATATGAATGAAACTGTACATCAAAATTCTGTGCTTGGCTTAAACATTTGATTTTTGAATGTCTAATTCACTGAAGTACCAAATCAACTAATGTAACAAAATTAGAATCTTCACAATATTTTAAAAACTTGAAATCTATCATTTAATAAAAAGAATATTCCAGTTTTGCAACCATATGTTCCACAATTTTGAACAGGATTTCAGTCTAGATATAAAAATGAAATATGATTACATAAGGTGTAGTATTTCTTATCATATCATCTATTCTTATCATATCTATTTCTTATCATATCATCCAAAACTTTCACAAACAATAAAAAATTACTCGTTTCAAAAAAAGAAAATCTTGAATGTGTTGAAATTACATTTTATAATTTCCATATTCATTCAAAATATCATGTTTTGTGCTTTAGGATCTGAAAATTTATTATTCAACTTGACCTCTATTCAGCATTTTCTTTTCATTAAATAATTAGACAAAAAAGGTTAATGTATTGGATTTTTATAGAGCAGAGAGATTTCAGAAGTAGATATTTATTTTTATTAACAATTGTTACTAAGATGTACTTGTAAATGATTCTTTTTAAATCTCTCCCTATGAAGAAAAGCTTTTAAAAAATTAGTTTTGAATAAGATACTAATTTTTCATGCAATTCGCAATTAGTAATAAAAATTCAGAAATATCATTAAAGGGCTCAATAAATTCTACTTACAGTTCAGAAATGTATTCATCAATATCATTAATGTTTTCACAAAAATTTCTATCTCTCCAACTTAAAAGTGTATTAAGGTATAACACACAAAATTTTCATGTTCAATACCCCCCCCCCTCTCCCAATGTATTTTCTTCCAATAGCTTTGAAAAACAATAAAAACCATATTAAAGCTTTACAATAAATAAATTAAACAAACCGAGAATGGTTTTGCCAAGTGATATATGTAGCTGAATTGTTTTGAATTGCACTGTTGCATGTAACAATTACAATTATCAACAATTGTAAACAATTTGCAATTATCACTTGTGTGTCAGGCAACAGATTGGAATGGAAGGCTTATTGGAAAGTCTTACAAATATCACATATCAAGTGATATCAGACAAATTTATTAAAAAATATTAGCAATCCAAGTAATATGTTAAACTTTTGATAACTGAACATAATAAATATACATAGAAAACATAAAAGGAGTAAAAGTACGACATAAAATTTCTTTAAAAATTAATTTGAACTATTCTACAAATTTAATAAGAACTTCCAGCAATTTTCAAATTCTAAAAGGTTGCGAGCTTTAAATAAAATAAGATACTAACAGAGTTAATTTTCTAATAACTCTCAGCATCTTCTGCTATGATAAGGAAAAAACAGTACTTACAACAGATTTTAAGTCTGTGGTTCTTGAATGGCATATAGTAACAGTTGCATGATGCCATAACAGCAGAAGAGACATGGGCAAACCAACTATTTTTGATCTTCCAATTACCACAGCTTTACTTCCTTTAATAGGAACACCTGATGGTATTTAGAAAATTGTTAAATGATGTGCAAAGTCAAACAAGTAAAGCAACTTTTTTAATCTACAAGTAAAGCAAATTTTACAAGTAAAGCAACTTTTTTAATTATAACATCATGGGTATGGGCAATAACCCTTACAAACAGTTAGCAATTTTTAGTAGACTGTTTGTAAGGGCTTCTGTTATCAGCGACATAAGTAACAAAAAAATTTATAATTTTCAATTTGTAAAATCCCGAGCAATAACAGTTTATAATTTTTAGACTTAAATAATTAACATCATAATATAATAAAGAACATTAAATAAAAATACTAAAGGCGATTTCAATCAGCACTAAGTATAAGTAGATTAAAAACATAAATAATTAATGTTCAAAACTAAAAACATTTTTGTTAATAAAAATAAGAAAATCAGTAATTAAATTCTATGGTATGAAAAGTGGTAATGCTTTTTAAATTTTTGAGCCTAAGCTTTGCAGATAAATAAGCAGGAAAAGTGATTATTTAATTAATATAAAATCCATATACAGTGATTCCACTAGAGTTAGGAAACTATAGGTCCTTAGAGCTTAGGTAATTTTATACCAAAAGTGGGTCCCAATTAAAAACAGTAAATATTTTAATGCTTTAATTTTTTTTAAATATGTTACTCTTACTAAAATTTAAAACCTACTGATCTTTTTTAATTACAAAATATTAAGTAAAATAAGAAAAATTTATTATTTAAACATTGTTGTAAAAATTATGCAAAAATAAAGGGTGCCCATTTTTTTCTAAAAAAGATACACATGATTTGTGGTACAGAGCTGGTGATTACATGCCTATTTCTTTATTCATCCAATTAATATGAGCATGTATAGCACATACACATATAAGAGTATGTATATGATTCCATAAATTGATACATAAATGAAGAAAATTATACTTAAGATTCAAGGCCTTTATTTGCAAGCAATTAATCAAACATCAGCATCATGGAAAAGCAATAGTGTAATCTGATACTCACAGAATTATTTATCCATCACATGTTAATGCAGAAGTGAATTTTTTTTTTTTTAAAGTTGAGTTGATTTTTTTCACACCAAAACAACTGGCATTGGTTTTTTTTTTCTGCAGTGAAAAACTGTGGTGCTAAAATTTTATTTCTGTGACCCACCAACAATTTCTGATTACATTTACATATGACAGCATTTAAGCAGAATCTCTGAATGTGTGTAAAAATTACCTGAGAATTCATATACTTAAACAGAATTGAGAAAAATATTAAATTTGGTGTATAAAATTTAAAAGCCTATTTGTGTAAATATATCCAATATGCAACACAAATTAGAAAAAATAAATAAACAAAAGTATAAATGATGTTACAAGCTTGATGGCATATTTTATGATATAGATATTAATATGCTGAGATATTTTAAGATTTCTAACAATGAGTTTGCATAGAAGTGTTTCCTTTCATATAATTTTTTTAAATAAAAAAAAAACCTGCTCTTCTCAAATAATAAGGAAAAAAAGTAAATGCATTGAAAAATTACAAGCATAATACAAGCTTCATCTTTTGTATAACAGACTTGTCATACACGTAGAAAAAAAAAAGCATGCATGGAATAATTTTAAATAGTTTACAAACACTGAAAAAAATATATATAATCAGTTAAAGCATTTGACCTGTTCTTTTGATTAATTCTAAGCATCCTAAGGGTGTGCAGGCAACAAAAAACCCTTCTAATTGACCATGAGAGAGCTTGCCAGCATTTTCATCACAGATACTAAAGAAATAAAATCGAATTTTAACACCTTTGAAACAGTATTGAAATAAAAGGAAATTAGAATTTCAAAACTGCTTACCCATCAACATCCTTGCTGGGAGAAACAGCATTTGTTATCCGTGCATTATCCACAGGAGTTTCTGTGTCAAGAGGCAACTAAAAAGGCAAATAATCTAACACTTAACATCCAATTTAAATTTTCAAAGACAACACAAAAATGAAATATTTATGAGTTTTAGAACTTGAAAAAAATACAACTGAAAGTTATTAATTGTAATCAAATAAAAGTATTTGACTTGGAAAGTTTGAAAATAGCATAAAAGGATTTGACTCTCAACAGATATAGCACAAAAATATTTGATTCAAGAATTGATTGTATTTACAATAAAGCTATGGCTTGACATTCAAGATAATCAGTTTTAGCATACTGTATTCTCAAACTTTATAAAATATAATGAACAATGTTATAAAACCAAATTTTATTTTATACCTGTACAATAACTCCATGAATAAGTGGATCATTATTCAGTTCTTCAACTGCAGCCAAAATCTGAAATGAATGAAATTTTTAAACATACAAAATATTCATAGCATATATAAACATGACTTTTAACAGATATTGTGAGTACAATATATGATTGCAGAGGCACTTTGATGAATTTTAAGATGAATTTTAATGATGAGCTAGGTTTATATGTAAAACATATTTAAAAAAACAAAATGGTAATGGTATTAAAAAGGCCAATAAAATGTTAATATGGGTGAAAGAAAGATTATCTTCTAAAAAAAAGCAATAAAAAGCATGGTTAGATAATACAGACACAAATTATTCCATTATCAAAAATATTACGAGCCTGTAGATGCCTTTGGATTGTGTGTGCAGATACTTAATGTTTTTATCTTACTATGAATGAAAGACAAAAAATAGCATAAAGTTTTTCAATCAGCCGCCAAGTCAAAAAATTTAACATTGAAGACTGAAATAAATTCAATGCCATAAAAAAAAAAGCAATTTGCCAAACCTAGAGCATATAAATTTAATAAAAATAAATTTTTTTTTTTATTATGCAGGAAAGTTTTTGAATACACACATTAATAGGCCAAAAACTTGAATATAATAAATGTTGACTTTCAACAAATATAATTAAATATTAGTTATTAGAGAGATGACTATAATTGAAAAAGGATTTTCCACAATGCACTTGATTAGAATTGACTCCTACATAAATCCATTGGAATTCAGCATTCTAACACACCACAAACTTACAAGCACCCATTTGAATAAAGACTTTCTTACGACCTTTACGCCAATTTCATTGCAAATTCAAGTGGTTTTAGTGACAGCTAATGACTTTCAAATAGTTTTTAAAATTTTGATGTTTTAACACCACAGCATAATTTATAGCTTATTTTGAATCATGCATTGGAATAATTACTTTTTGATGCACTCTAGTTGTGACAAATCAATTGCAAATTCCTTAAAGATTTTTGTTCATTTCGAAACAAAGTGTGGTAGTTTGAAAATCTTACAGAAAGCAAAACCTGGGTAAAAAAAACAAACTAGAGGATTCTTATTCTTGTAAAATGTATCTGAAACACTTCTCTTCATGATATAGCTAAGTGCACTTAAAAAAACAACATATCTGGTTAGAAAAAAATGAAAACAGAACAAGTTTTAAATTTAATTAATACAGGTGTAATATGTTGAAATATTTCGATAAAATTCTTTAAAATTCCATTCACATGTGTCATATGCAAAGAGATTAAAAATTTAGAAGATACCACCAATAGAAGTTGAAGCATTACATGAAGTTTATCCTTTATTTAGCAAAAGATCACACGAAACGCAATGATTCAGAACCTCAATTTTAATCTAACATTAACTAAATTTATAAGTAAAAAAATTCAAATAAGTTCAAATACGAAAACTTCTTTACTGTAAGTACAAGACACATGTTTTAAAGTATATCTATAAATATCAGTAAATTTATATATAATATATTATCTATGTTACATAAATTTATAATACCTATACAGTTTTATATTTCTTAAGTTAATACATATGAACTCTTTAATATTAGTAAAGTACATTTAAATTTGCTATTTTTCTCACCTTGTAGGGTTGACAAGATTAATAAGATTATTGAATCTGAAGAAATGTATTATAAAAAGTGCGTTAGTGTTAAAAAGTTTAACAGAAAGATCCAAGCAAGTGCACTAATATTGACTGTGTAGTAGTAGGCTTTATATAAGTAAAATAAAATAAAACAAATAACAAAAAGTTAAAGTTAAATTTTCTTTTACATATATAAAATACTTGCCTCGGGTTCTGTAGATGTTCTTGGTAGTTGTACATGCTTAGTTGTTACTCCTACTGCACTGGCAGTCTTTTTTTTCATGCGAATATAAACATTTGAATCTTCTCTTCCTCCGACCTACAAAATAACAAATTCAGAATAAAATGGCATTGATAATTTTAAAACAAACTATAGAGAATTGAAAGCAAAAAATATGCAGAAATGTTAGTTAGCCATAGAAAGGTAAGTCATACTTGAAGAATGGCTAACACAGGTTCAAAGTTTGGGTTTTCCTCTTTCAAAGCAGCAACTTCATTCTTTAATTGGTTTTCAACATCTCTGAAAGAGAGGCAGTGAATAATATAAATTAATATATAAGAAACCTAACAAAACAATCTTTATAAGCCACATAAAATGTAACAAGAAAAGGAGAATTACCATTAGAGATTCAATACCTTTATGAAAGCACAACCTTTTTGAGTGAAGGGCCACACGCATATTTAGTCATGTTAGTGGCAAATATGATAATTTTTATATAAATATTAGTGTTACAAGCACTTAATATTTTCATCAGAAAACTTAATAACAATAACATATTTGCAAAAAATCAAAAGCTTTTAATTAATATAATTTGCTTAAAACTAAAAAAAACTGATACTTTTTTTAAAAAAAACTTTTTCAATTTTTCACAATAATTAATTTATCAAACATATATAATATAAATATATACATAAATATTAGGGAGGATATAAGTTCTAACCAAAAAGAAGCTTACAGTATGAAATGCAAAAAATATACATATTTTAGAGTAATATAAATTTTAATTAAATACTTCAATTTAAGAAAATTTATAATGTTTAAACAAAGACCAATTTAATAGAATTTCTTTTATTGCGTTCAGAAGTTCCATCGGGCCACACATCAACAGGCAGTGGCCCGCAGGCTGTGCACCCCTATCTTAGATGTAGGTAAAAAAACAAGCAAGAATATCTCACAGAAGCCCATATTGTTGACTATAAAATGGTTTATACAGAGAATGACACTAAGGATAAAGCATGTAAATCAGTAATGTTACACTGTCACCATCATCTTCCTCACAACAACACTGTCACATAGTGAACACCGCTAATTATGCCTTTCCCAGATTGTGTGATTAACTAGACATCGAAGATCTTAAAATATAATCATAATCATTTAAATAAAAACCTGTTATAAACTTGATCATCAAAATCCTATGGAACTTTATTCGATTTATTTAACAAAAATATTTGAATTTCAGTGTGTTAATTTTTATTGATATGGAACACTGGCTTTTCAATTAAACATATATATTAGTTTCTTATATAATTGGGTTTTTTTTTCTCAAATTATAATTATGCTGAAAAAAAAGCAACTGGTAGCTTATATATATATACCAAAGGATACCTTGCAACAAAAACTACCTAGAGTCAAGGGATACTAATGAAAAAGCTTAAAAGGACCACTCTGACCTTTCTCGTTATTCTAGGTATAAGTATTTATAAATTTCTATAAGGCCAACACATGAATGATTGAATAAGCACTTAGTTCAAATTTTGAAAAGTCAGAAACACTCAACAAGTTAATCTTCGGATTACAAGAGCAATAAAAAACGAAAGAGGTTAAATAGGCCCTATTTGTCTTCCTTGTGCTAAATTGCAAATCAGACTAACAGTTCTTTCCCTTAATGCAAAGTTCAAATGATACTTCCTGTTGTGACGTCAAGTGCAATCGCCAAGGCACTAAATAAGTTTTGAGCTTGAAAATTTTTCAAAATAATTATGCACTTCTAGGGGTGGATACAAGTAATAAACTTAAAGTTAATCTTAAAAAATGATCAGAATTTTAAGTACACTTTACACTGGGGACATCTTCGTGCACGATAGTCTTTAAAATAATAAATCTAACAATATTCAACACTCTTTAGTTTAAAAAGGTCACAAACACTGAAAACACTATTGTCACAAAACTATGATGCAAAAAAATTTACTAAACAATGTTAAAAATGCTAAATATGGGATTTTAAGGGAATACTTTTGTATGGTGAGCTATGCTAAAAAATTATCACCAAATCTTTGCTATTTCCTGGCAGTGGGCTATTCAGCAGTAAGCCTGGCAGCAACTAAAAAAACATCACATTTGTTTTGGAATTTATAAATTATTTTCATGATGCAATATTTAAATTTTTTAGTTAATTTTTGAGCATTATAGTTTAGTGTCAATAGAGTTTTTATTATTTGTAGACTTAACCTAAAGATTGTAGAATATTGCAAAATTCGATCACTGAAAGAAAATCACGCTAAAATGTCTCCAATTTATAATTGACTTAAAATTCCAAATATTTTTTTAAACTTGCTTATTAAAAGATTATATTGGCATACACTAAGGGTTACTTTATAGGGTTAAAATCATTTACTGCAACTATTAAATTTTATAGAACTTACTTCTCTGTATCATACTTAAATTAAACATTAACTTTATGAATGCCACTTAAAGAGCAAAGTGAATATCAAAGTCTTATTACATTATTCCATTTCTTTTCAATTAAAAATAACAATATTGAATACATGAGAACAAAGTATGCAATTTATAAAATAAAGAATTGCGAGATATTTAAAGTAGACCACGTGCAAGTTTATTAAAAACAAGAAAGTTAGCAAAATTTTTTACTTACTTCGCTACTTCTCGTCCAGAGAGAATTTTACCATAAGTTTCTGATGACATGGTTGAAAAATTGGGATATAAAATTTTGAAATAAGGTTTTCTAATAGAAGACACCTTTCTGATGGTAAAAGAATTAAACTGAAAGAAATGACGAGCTCTTATTACGGTTATCATCAATCTTATCATATCATATTATCTGTTATCAGAGCATTTTGCAACACTATTTTCTCGAATTCTATGTCACAGTACGGAAATGACTGATAACGACTTTAAAAGTAGCTAGAAAATTATTGGATTTGACAATTAGTATTAGGATTTGACATTATTATTATATATTTCTACAAATATGCCGCCCTCTTTAACGGTTTTGGTTTCGTTTTTCATAGATTTTGTTTTCCACCACAATTTATTTAGTAGTCGGAAATTGCAAAGAATAAAAAAAACTAATAAAGTACAAAAATATAAACTCATTCAAATATCCAAATAAAAATAAAAATTAATAAGAAAATTGGTTTAACATGTTGAAATGCTTTTAAGGGCCACTCTCACTGGATGCGATTTTTTCAGCAGTAGGGAACGCTGCAAGCTCGGGACTACAACGCCACTGTGAAAATTTTTTGAAATTTAAAAAAAAGACAATTAAAAAAAAGAAACAACAACAATTAAAAAAAAGAAATGACATTTTAGAAGAAATGATGGTTGGAACCAAATAAGGAAACTTATTTCGACTGTTTTAATACTTTATGAAGTCCATATTGTTAGAAAAAAAACTTAGAAAAAAACCACTTTCTACTTCTTTTTTTTTCTAGTTTCAATCCTAGATATTTTTTAACAAAAGTTTCTTATTTTTGACTATAATATAAAACATTTATTTATCTTGCTAAATTTTTAAAATTTTTTTTGCTTATCTCAGTAGATGATGTTAATCTGAAAGTTTTTGAAAATTATTGATGATAATGCCAGAAGACAACTTTAAAAGCTTTTTGTATGGCTGAGCATTACAGAAATATAAAAAAAATTTTCATTCACATTCCAAAGAAAATTCAAAATTGTTGAAAAAAAATGCACATCTAATTACATTGGCAATCGAAATGGGTAGCGAATGCAAAGTATGTTTTTAAGCCCGATTTCATATTTATAGTGATGACTAATTAATCGAGTAACATGAAGTTGGGCGCCGGGGGTATTGTGTATTATGCACTTCATATACTATACTCGAATATCTGAAAATTACAATGAAAAAATATTTTTCAAAATGATTGTTTTTATTTCGTCAGCTGCAGCTATCACATCTACACGCATTACACTTACACTGTTTCTCATTCAAAAACTGAATTAAACTAATAATATTTCGCTTGCATGGGCAAATACACTTAACAAAAAAAACAAAAAAAAAGAAAATAGGGCGTGGAGTCCCTCCGCGCGAAGGAAGTTAAACTTCGCAACCTGAGACGTTAATTGTAGAAGAATCAGCAGTCGTAGAAGGATCACTAGTTCTATTCAACTACTCTTTTTCCCACTCCGCTGTCTTCCGTGCTCTGTAATCACGAAATCAATATTGTGCATTTTTCCCTCATGAAAAAGTGGAAGTGCTTGTGGTTGCCTCATCGTCTCGCCCTGGAAAATGTATTTGTATTAATAATGTATGTGAATGCGTCATAATGTAATTTCAGAAGAGAAACAATCACAAGAGACGTACCTTGACATAACCTTAAATCCGTCGCATTGTCCGTGGGATTGTTTTCACTCATTTTTTACTATTGTTATCCACTAAATTTGAAAATAAAAAATACTACCCTATTAAATTATATGAGTATCAAAACAAACTAAAAAAATATTTATAGAAAAACAATACTTTTATTACTTTTAATATTTTTATGCTAGTGAGAACCAAAACAATATGGAAATGAATGAGGGAAAACTGGATCCTACCACGTGATTTCCCGGCCAATAAAAATGTAGCGTTAAACGTTTAACGCAACCTTGTTGGAAGTCGCATAAGAAGTATAACTTCAAAATATTACCACTTTTTTTATACTCTTTGGGTAAATGTGTTGAAGAACAAAATATTGAAAAGGTTTGAGTTCAGGTCAAATCAGCAATATACCCCCTTAAAATTTTACGTGATACATTTTCAAAAATAAATAAAAGATATTGGATTTAAAATAAGTAACAAAACAGTGAAACATATAATCTTTAAAAGTAATATTCGTTAAATGATTCACAGAGTCTTCACAAACAGGTTATAAAAAAGGATCATTTAATTAGAAACGTATATATTATATGGAACTTGCGAAAAATCAAGTTAAAAACGATAGTACCAAGATAGTAAAGCTTAAGTAATTATTTATACCTCGGAAAGGGCCATTTCACTTTATTTTGATGTAGTGGCTTAAAATTTCTAATATAATGCAATGCAAAATAAATATTTTTTCATGCTTTTCAAATTAAGCCTAATTTAAATTAATTACATCAATTTAAGCACCCCTGACAGTTTCTGGTAACAGTGTGGTTTTATGGGAACTAAATTTTTTCATTTGTATAAATTTTTGACCCAATGAAAAAAAAAGATCGAATCTGAATTTGAATGCAACAATTTGAGTGACACAACCAACACATTTGAGTCAGTCGACGAATATGATCTTATCGCTTATTACTATTAAAACTATTTTTCTGTTGTTGAATAAGTTGAAAGAAAATAATTGTGATAAATCTTTGCAATCTTGTGGTAACCTATTCCTTTTTTTGTTTTAAAAAAAGTGCGGGTTTTAATAAAGCTTTATGAAATAAGAATCTTGAGAGAAAAATAAATTTTCCTTCTTCTCTATGCAATAAAGGATGTATGGTTGCTGCTTAAAGCAAGGATGAAAAATTCACGAAAACCGCATCTAAAATATCCAATGACTTTCAATAAAATTATAATTAAAATTAATTATAATTATAATTAAGTTGAATTCGCAAATAGAAATGACCCTTTCAGCTCTGCAAATGTAATTTTGTGAACTGCAGATCAACCCGAAATGGTATTTATATTAAGTTTATCAATATTCTCGAACTTTTATCATATTTTCATGTTTAAAAATAGGAAATTTGAAGACATTAATTTTTGCGATGCAAAGGAAAATGAATCGTTAAGTTGTAAGGTAACTAATAGTGGTGGCTCTTGCTATTTTTTATTACATAGAAATTAGCTCATTGTTTTAAATTTTTTTCTTAAACGTGATAATCACTTTTTAAATTTTTATGTTAAACTTATCTGATTATCTTCTGCAACGCAAATACCTGGTATAATGTAATCATAATATTTTATTTTTGGCAATACAAGAGTTAAAACTTCGATTCTTATTTTCTTATGCTAGGTTTCCGAAACAAAAAAGAGAGACATTATGGGAAAATAGTTCACGGTTATCATATTATATATGTATAAAATGCACAACAAATGCATGAAGCGGTTTTAAAAACAGAGTGTTCCTCAATTTCTATCACGAAATTCAACTGAGAAAATACCAAATTCGTTTTCAAACTCTGACTAATCATTATTGTAGACAAAGAAGAGGAAATACCGATTTAGTTAAGCGAAAACTAGTTTAATTTTTCATCGGCACTGGATGGAGTTCGGCTTTTCGCTTGAAATCATCTTAATGGTTTAACATCTTAAGATAAAATGGTTTAGGTGATTTCACTCATTCCTTTGTTCTTATGAACTTAAATTTGAGTATACATGTAGCGCTAAGTAGAATTCTTTGCCAAAGGCAATATTTACCATGCCTCCTGAATTAATGTTTGGATAGTTATAGCGTAAGCTAGTTCCTGTTTCCATTTTGCGATAGATTAAAAAATCGATTTTAAAATTTTGAATAGATTTTGAAATAGATTTAAAAGTTTTGAAGCTGTGCTGAATTGAAAACTGCATTAAACTATGATTAAATTAAGCATTGTTGAAATTTTAAAATAGATTTTAGACTGTCTGAAAGCATTCAAAAAGATTGTTGAAAGTGAAAAAAAGTGGCAATTCATTCTCCTACAACTGAGCAGAGGGACAGAGGGTGCACGGTATCGATTCTCGTTAAACTGTTCTACTGTAAAGTGCTCGACTACTCGCGCTAGTAGTCGGGCTACCAAAGTAGGGGAGCTTTCCTCTCTATAGAGGATTAAAATTGTGAGGACATGTCATCAGATCATACTCAGAGATGTTTCCTATTCCGTCGCCACAAGACTATTATGCAGCTCTACCAGGTGAAAAGAGTGCAGCCTACAACTAAGCAGGTGAAAAGAGGAAAAGGGTTGAAAATGTTTTAGACCTGCAACTTGTGATCGTCCATTGGTCAGTTTGAAAGCGATTTTGATCTGCTAAATTTTAATATTAACTTGCGACCCTTAATGTGTAAAATTCTTCGGTACTTCACAAGGTTTTAAGAAATGTATATTAAACTCGTACAAATTAGTAAAATTTATTAAAAAAAATAAAAAAGTCAATAATATAATTATTCTTATAAAACCAATTTCAAATCTATATTTCAAAAACGTAATTGATAGTTAAAAGAATTTCTCCTCAGTATGATAACCCTAAAAAAGCTAAGATCGTTTGTGAATTGAAAATGTCGGCAACTCGACCACAGCAAAATTTATAGTTACGAAACCTGCGATTACTTATCACTATTACGAAACTCCGATGACGTATGTCTGACGGTATGCAGAGTGCATAGTTTCCATTTGACGTTATGTGGCGAAAAATACGAGTTTCTTAATCAAACTTATTTCTTGACTTATCTAAAAAAGAAGTCGTTTACAGCAAAATATCTCGTTTACCTTTTGGAATGACAGTGCTTTTGATAAAACAGCAAGGGCGTGAATCTATTCTCTCTGATAAAAAGCCTGATATCAATGCTGCGTTTTTTGAAAAACAATAACAATCTTAATTTTGAGGTGACATAGTACTTAACTGCATATCATTTTTTATGTTAAAAGTATTTGAAATTATAAATTTTATATATCTAAGAAACTGGAATCACACACACAAAACGAAAATTCACCTCACTTGAGAGAAGCTGTGTTTAACCTGCAATTCACTAACTCAGCGGTTCTTTCTGCTACGGAGCACTAAATAAACAAGCTTCTTCTTGCGGAACCCAGATAACAAAATTCATGTGAATAAAGACAATTGTACACGTATTAATCATTAAGAGAAAACTTTCTTTTGATTTCTAGACTTTTTTTATATTTACGAAGATGAGTCACATTTTTTCATCTCCTTATCATTAATGATATTAAATTAGGCTTCATGTTTGACTGTTGAATTCACAGTCTAGGAGATGAATATAGTCTAGCTAAAAATTTATTTTTATATTGCTATAAAAAAAGCTCGCATTAACTTTAAG